GAGTTCGTGTCTTTGTGTTTAGGAAGTTTTACCGCTCGGTATTCTTGTACCCATCTACAATTTTCCGGGCACGACATTCCTTTCAAACATTTTCCGAACCATCAATATCTGTTCTAAACCGCCCAAAAAGACCTTTGAATAAGTGCAAGCCCCAGGGCTCATTACCCAAATTATTCGTTAGAACAAACAAAGAGAGTTGCGTTTACAAACGGGGAATCTTTTCAAATGAAAGAGGATGAAGAGTAAGAGCCAATCCTCCATACAGGGTCTTATTCCCGAGGTAATCCCTCTCAAGTTATTTTTAGATCACTTTAGGCTTCAGAAATCCCAGAAGGATCTAGAAATAGCTAATCATGTGACGTGGATTTACTCACGTGGACAGCCCAAGCGGAAACATCCACGCAACGCGCGTGGTAACATTACCGCGGGAGGACTAGGTACCATGTCGAAAAGAGACTCAAGAGGGATTTCCTCGAGAATAACGCCTGTACTGGGATTGAACCTCATCTCGTTCAGCCTCTCTTGTTTCAAGACGAAAGAAAACTTTTCAAGGATTATATAAACGCAGTTATGACAAATTAAAATTCGTGTATATATGCTAGTAATTTATTTTTACTCTCAAATACAAAACATACCATTTTGAACTTAGAGGTTGTATTGGGTTTGAAGAAATTGAATAAAGATGTTGGATTATTGTATTTAATGAGTGACTCTTTAAAACTTGTTTCATTTTGTGGATTAATTCTTATTATTCTACAAGTCTCCGTTAAAAAAAAATACTCTACTTTGTTGTTTCATTCAATATAGCTTAACATTTTAGTTTTCTTGGTGAGAAAACTATTTTCAACATTTTTAAAAAAGTTAGAAAATCGATCTCGGACGATCATATACTGTTTTAGAAAAGTCTTTGAATTCGTGAGAAATTTAAAGTCTTTCCGATGTAAAACATTGGTCTTTAACCCCACTAATGCGAGTAAAAACAGTTTTAAGCACTACGTCATGTAACATCGGTCAAGTTTCCCTTGGTATAAGTTGCTGATGGTGCTGTAGACCTCTTCTGACCGATGTCTCGTCCAGGACTCCGTCAAGGTGTTGTTCAATCCAGTAACTTGGGTCCTTCGAAAACAAAAACAAAGATGAAGTACTGTTTTCAAACGTTTTATCTAAACATCCAAACAATTAGAACGAAACCCAGGCCCCTCCCTGTTTGTGCTCTCTTTCCCAATTCACGCTCCTTCTCAAACCAGACTAGTATCCAGTCGCTTTAGGTGTTTTGGGGGAGAGAAGATTGGATACTAGGTTGAATAAAGGCTCGCGGAGCGTCATGGGTTGGATCGCTAATTTTTGTACCTCTTCCCATACCTCCCCACGCGCTCCACTCGATCCAGACGGCTTTCTCTTTGAAACAATCCAATCTGACCCATAAATAGCGACTGGGTAGTAGTCTGTTCTCAAACCTATTCTTTCGAATAGACTGTAATTCAGCTTGGCAGAGAGGCTTAGGAGGACACAAACAAAGGGAATTGAATGACATATTTATTCAT